TCTACCCGCTAGAAAACCGCACTTCAAACCCCACGCCGCCGTAAGCGGCGGTCACACCGCCAGCAAATGGGCAGACCGCCTCTTCGCCGACTTCCAGTTTCTCCCTCCGACCTCGGATCCTCTAGACGCCGCAACCTCGACACCGCCGCCTGTCCTCCCTTCCCTCCCCGAGCGGCACGTGTCCGTGCCGTTGGACTTCTACAGGGTCCTCGGGGCCGAGCCGCATTTCCTAGGTGACGGCATTCGCCGGGCGTACAACTCTAGGGTTTCGACGCCGCCTCAGTATGGGTACAGCGATGAGGCACTGATTAGCCGGCGCCAGATTCTGCAAGCTGCTTGCGAGACGCTGGCTAATCCTAGCTCTCGCAGGGAGTATAATCAGGGACTCGCGGATGATGAGTTTGATACCATTCTCACTCAAGTGCCTTGGGATAAGGTTTCTCTTTACTGTCATAGCTGTTCTAATGTGGAAAGATAATGGTTTTTTTTCTTTAGTTACTTTATTGATACTCATTACTGCTGTTGCAAGCCTGGTTTAACTGGCAAATTTGACTGCCCCTTATGTTAGTTAAGAAAAATGAAGTAGAATAATGCATCAGATTGTTTATTTTCTTGTTTTGAAGTTGTATCTTTATCAGTCTTTTGATACTTTTAGCTTACAAAAGAAAAAAGGGAAGGGCTTCATAACTGATTCCTGCAAAAGACGACATGTTTTAAGAGCTCTTAAACAGGGAAGATTTATAACCAATGTACCCACAGGATTTAGTTCATTTTAGGATCTAATGGTTTGCTTAGTGTACACGCATTTTAGGCTTGTTTGTAATTATCGAATGTGTATGCTCTAGTTGTCCATATATTCACAATATGAAAATGCTAGAAATTCTATCTTTTTAGTTGCATCTCTATTCAAGTGTATAGATTAACCGCTGGATGAATGATTGACAAAATAGAAGTTGGTCTGCTACTCTAATTTTATCAACTCTTCCATGGTATTTCTGTCTAAACCAAATAAGCGAAGTATTTCAAAGCACTTTCTTAATAAATTTCGATCTTTAACTTTGATGGCCCTTTTTAGGTTCCCGGAGCTTTGTGTGTGTTGCAAGAAGCTGGGGACACAGAACTGGTTCTCCAAATAGCAGAAAGCTTGTTGAAAGAGAGGCTACCTAAGTCATATAAGCAAGACATTGTGTTGTCTATGGCGCTTGCTTATGTAGATTTGTCTAGGGATACAATGGCACTATCACCCCCTGATTTCATTAGAGGTTGTGAGCTGCTCGAAATGGCTCTCAAGTTGCTACAGGTTAGAGTTCTTAACCATGGTATGCCGCAGCAAGATTTTTGTTGTTTGTTTTGCTATCAGAGTAAAACCTATGTGGCTATGTCTTAAACTCATTTGCTGTCCTTTAAAAAAGTATTCATGCATTCATTCATCTCTGTTATGTCTCATGATGCATCTGTGCTCCATTCTAGACTGTATTTCCTGTTGCTGTTTGTTTCATTGTGATCTCGTGCTTTCTGGCATCTAGTAATGTCTCTATTAGACTTGTTATCTTCACTAATCATTTTTATATTCATCATTAAGTGGTTAACGAAAGTAAAATAAATGATAACCTATATGTTATTCTCGTTATTATTGTTCGTTTGGCGGTTGGGTATACAAGTTTGCCGGCTGGTGTTACTATCTCTCAAATGGCCTCAAGATCTAGGATCTGATTGCTGTATTGTTTCATCAAGCTCAATATCTCGAAACTTATTCAGCAATCATACATCATTTTCATGCAGGAAGAAGGTGCTAGCAACCTTTCTCCTGACTTGCAAGCGCAGATTGACGAGACCCTAGAGGAAATCAACCCCCGCTGTGTCCTAGAGCTCCTAGCTTTACCACTTGGCGAAGATTACCAATCAAAGAGAGGAGAGGGCCTCCAAGGTGTACGGAACATTCTCTGGGCTGTGGGTGGAGGAGGTGCAGCTTCCATTGCTGGAGGATTCACTCGAGAAGATTTCATGAACGAGGCTTTCCTGCATATGACAGCTGCCGAGCAGGTATGTGCATTTAACATTGATTTACATTTTCATTTTTCACCCACATTTTTTTTGCCAGAATATATGATTAACTGATTTTTTTGTGTGTGTGTGTGTGTGTGTGTGTGTGTGTGTGTGTGTGTCAAGGTTGACCTCTTTGCTGCCACACCAAGCAACATACCTGCCGAAAGTTTCGAAGTCTACGGGGTAGCCCTCGCTCTAGTCTCTCAAGCCTTCATGGGAAAGAAACCCCATCTCATCCAGGATGCTGACAACCTCTTCCAGCAGCTCCAGCAGACAAAAATCACAGCCGTGGGGCCCACCGCCTACAACGTTAGGCAAAACCAAAACCGTGAGGTGGACTTTGCTCTCGAGAGGGGTCTCTGCTCCCTTCTTGTTGGGGAGGTTGACGAGTGCCGTTCATGGCTTGGACTGGACAGCCAGGATTCGCCCTATAGAGATCCATCTATCGTCAACTTTGTCGTGGAGCACTCCAAGGACGACAGGGAAGACGAATTACTCCTTCCCGGACTCTGCAAATTACTCGAGACGTGGTTGACTGAGGTTGTGTTCCCCAGATTTAGAGAGACTCAAGGAGTCGAGTTCAAGCTCGGGGACTATTATGATGATCCGAAGGTGCTGAGATACTTGGAGAGAATAGAAGGCGTCGGGCGCTCGCCACTGGCGGCAGCAGCTGCCATAGCAAGAATTGGGGCTGAGGCCACGACTGCCGTGCTCGACAGCGTGAAGGTTAGTGCTGTTCAGGTGCTGCGGAGGGTATTTCCACTCGGTGGCGGAGAAAAGAATGCGAGGGTGTATGAGGAGAACGAGATGAAGAGTGATGACCTGGCGACTGTGGTCCGGCTTGATCGTGATGATACTTATGTGGCGGGAGTTGAGGAGGGGAATTTTGCTGGTGGTGGGCCCCAGCTGCAGGAGAATATTAAAGGGGCGACTGTGAAGATCGTGTGTGCTGGTGTGGCAGTTGGCTTGTTGACTTTGGCGGGGTTGAAATTTCTGCCGTTGAGAAATGGCTCGTCGTATGGTGGTGTACGTAAGGATTTGGGCCCGGTGTCTGTGGCTGCTGATGTCATCGATGTGGGTATGGTTTAGTAAATTTTGTGTTGATATCAGTAGTGGTTGTAGATCAACTATAGATGAACTGGAGTGTCAGTTTTGGGTTTTATTGGGAATGTGAATGACAATGCAAACACATTAAAAGAGAAAGAAGAAATAAGAAAGGAAGTGGAAAAAAATATATAAGAAATAGGAAGAAATTGAAAACCAGGCGTGTCTTGTGTAAAGATAGGTTTTTTATTGGGAATGTGAATAAAAACTTTTTCGTTCTCTGACTTATATTTGGTCTCACAAATGCCTTATTATTACCGTCAGGAGGCTCGGTAGCTGAAAATTCTGGTGAAATACCTCGAATGGATGCAAGATTCGCAGAAAACCTTGTACGCAAGTGGCAAAGTGTAAAGTCCCTAGCCCTCGGTCCTGATCATTCTATTGAAAAATTGTCAGAGGTGAGAATTTTGTATGTTATGTCACTCTTTATTTTGCTTTCCCTGGGTTTCTGGTATTTTATTATATATTTTTCAGGGGCACATCAGGGCAATCCAAGTTCCCCTATATGGTTTTAGTTGTTGCTACTGCATTTACATGAACAAATCGATATACGAAATTTTGTTTACTTGAGGATTTTCAGGAGAACACTAGGCTACTAGCTAACACAACACGCCTAGTCGCCTACAAGCACCTCGAACCTTAAAGAGATATTAAGAACATTTTTCTCTACCCTCGAGGCAGTTGAAATGTTGAGCGAATTGCTCGTTTTTTTTTTCTTAATTATTTTAATCAGTCATTCACGGTGAAAGAAAAATACTTCTATTCTGAAATGCTCAACTTTTGTTTAGTGTCTATTTTCAGTACTTTGTAATTCGTTCAAAGCCCCATTATTCACACGATTGAGGGAGAAGTTATTTATGCCGTCGGCAGGTATTGGATGGTAAAATGCTGAAAATCTGGGGCGAGAAAGCTGCTGAAGTTGCTCAGCATGGCTGGTTTTGGGACTATGAGCTCGTGAACCTGAATATCGACAGTGTAACAGTGTCGGTTGACGGGCGTCGAGCTGTAGTGGAAGCAACTCTCGAGGAGTCGGCCCACCTGACGGACGTGGCCCATCCCGAACATAACGACTCGTATAGCTCGACATATACGACACGGTATGAGATGTCCTTCGTGGAATCGGGTTGGAAAATTGTCGAAGGAGCTGTTCTTAAATCGTAATTTTTTTTTTGACTTGTTGAATAATGATCATTTTGTGTAAATGCTCTCATCATGTGTTTGTGTTCATTTGGCTTGATTGGCATTCAGGTTATAAATCTTATTATTATCAAGTAAAAAATGAAAAAAAATAAAAAATTACTGCAACCAAATAACCAAATACATATTGTGGGATTAAGAGTAGCTTTTCCAAAAACGATAAAAAAATAAAAATAAAAAGAGTAGCTTTTCCAAATATCAATTCTTTTGTAGTTCATGAGTATTGGATCCTAAAATTCATATATTCGGTAACTTTTCCTTTTTGGATATTTGTAATAGAAGAAAATATCACTTTTAACATATTTTTGTCAAGTTGTATAAAATGAGGTGTAAGTATAAAGATTGATGATTTTAAATATAACGGTAAAACAGAACAGCTTCTAAGTTTATCATGTCTAAAAGTGTAATGTACACTTCAACATCCAATTAATGTTTCAAAAATTGCTGCGAAATCGAAAAATTCTCGAATCCGCTCCAGTTAACTTTC